GGCGGGGGCGGTCGCAGCCTCCCCTGCGGCGCTGGGCGCGCGGGCGGCTGCGGGCTTGGAGGCGGCGGTGGCGGCGGCGGCGGCGGAGCTGCGGGCTGTCGAGGCTGCCTTTGCGCGCGAGGGTCTCCTCCCCTCCCCACCGCCACGCAGCCTCGCCTCGGCGGCGGAGGCGGCGCTGGAGGCGGCGGCGGGCCAGCTAGCCGGTACCCGAAGCCCACCCTCCCCTACCCCACGGTACCCGAAGCCCACCCTCCCCTACCCCACGGTACCCGAACCCACCCTCCCCCTACCCCACGGTACCCGAACCCACCCTCCCTTACCCCACGGTACCCGAAGCCCACCCTCCCCTACCCCATGGTACCCGAACCCACCCTCCCCTACCCCACGGTACGCTTAACCCACCCTCCCCTACCCCACGGTACAAGAGCCCACCCTCCCTTACCCCCACGGTACCCGAACCCAGACCGGCTACTGGCGGAGGCGCGCGTGGCGCTGCTCTCCCCGCCCTCCCGCTCGCGCGAGATCGGCGCCGACGCGGACGAGGGCGGCGAGGCGGCGCGAGGGGGAGGCACCGACCAGGACGACGAGTTGGCGGAGGTGCTGCGGACTCTAGAAGACGGAACGCGTAGTCTTGTCTCTCCCAAGTAGCGCACCGCTCGAGAGGACGCGCACTCCGCTGTGCTCGGCCGTAGTCAGCCGCCTTCAACTGTACTCGCACCCCCTCGTACTCACGCGCTGCTCTGAGAGCCTGCTGCACGAGACCGTCTTCACGCAAAGACACAACCCCCGGGACCAAAGACGCACGAGCACAGGCCGTCGAGAAGGGAGAGAGACAGCGACGGCAGTCAGAAGGCAGCGCTGGGTCCCAGGAAGGCGAAGGCGATGACGGCCTCTAGTGTGAGCGGTGCAGCCTCCGAGTCGGCGTCTAGCGCGCGCGATAAGGGTTTTGCTCGCCTTCCCTGGGACCCCGTGTTGCGTGACTGTCTCTCTGCGATTTCGGGCCCGGGGTTGTGCGTTTATGTGAGCCGGCTGCACCGCGTAGGCGCTGCGGCTGCCGCGGGGCCGCGTGTCCGAGTGCGCGCTCGCCGTCGCACGGCTCTGACGCCTAGACTCTGACTACGGATCCATGTCTCCCAGCCAGCACTCTAGAGGCACGTACTCCGCTGCCTTCCGCCGCGTTCCACGGTGTTCTCTGTAGTCGCATTCACGCGGTGCTCTCAACACGCTGCACAAGACCGCATCCCCGCCCTGAGGTTGGCGTCTTCAGCACGTAGGCTCTGCCGCTGCTGCCTCGCCGCGGCGGCGCTGGTGCGGGGGCGCGGCGCGCGGCTGCTGGTGCGGCGCGCGCGAGAGGTGCTCGAGCTTTTCGTCGCTCTTGCACCCACGCGCGTGTCGAGCCCGGTGCGATCTCCCCGCGATCTCCCCGCAATCTCGCTGCAACCTCGCTGCAACCTCGCTGCAATCTCCCTGCATCTCGCTGCAACCTCGCTGCCCCTCCTGCAACCTCGCCAATCTCCCGCCTGTTCCCCCAAACCCCAACCCTAGCCCCACCACTACCCCAACCCCTAACCCCACCCCTACCCCCACCCCATACCCCCACCACCACCCCACCCCATACCCCCACCCCTACCCCCACCCCATACCCCCACCCCTATCCCCACCACATACTCCCCCCCCTACCCCCACCCCTAACCCAAAAAACTTACCACTATCTCATCTCTCACACAACCCTCTCA